AAAGAAATTATTTTAAGAATTGGACAATAATTTCATTTTTCTTTGTTGATTTTTTTCTGAATTACTTCTTTAATAAATATTCCACAATAATGGAAGAATCTAATCATGAAAAACAAAAATAGAGATATGAGAAGGTTCGAGAAATGCAAAAAAAAAAAAAAAAAAGAGATTATTGATCGTGAATAATCTCTAGGCGAGTTTAAATTCTGCTAATTTCATTTTAATTAAAGAAAAGCGAATTAATTAAGATATGAGTATACCGCATGAATTATTAAAACGACACTTGATTATAATATAAAGGCGCAGGGGGGCCTCGCGTTCTTCCGCCGCATCATTTGCAGATAATTATAACACGGTTTCCCATAATTAGATTCGGCTAATGAAGCCTATCATGAAGTTTAAAATAAATGAAGCTCAGTTCTTTTTAATTTTAGATCACGTCTTCATTATTAAATGATATAAAAAGAAACCATAGTAGATTTTATAATTGGGCTCGACAAAAATATTTATTATTGTGCCTCTTTTTTTTTCCTTCAAAAAAAAAATCTTAAAGTTGAAGTCTAAACGTTTGGCTCAATCTGGTTCAGTTGGCTCCCATTATGAATCCATGCGAGAACAAATCGGGAAAGAGATTAATTAGATTTCTCATTTCTTGATACTTTCTGTTCTTATTTATAAGCTTTAAATTAGAGAGTTGTGTAATCAATTTTATAAGATTTAATTTGACTTTGTCTCCTTACATATTTCTTCATTTATTTTATTTATTTATTATAAGAGCTTATTTAAAAACAAAAAATATTTTTTATCTATTTATTATTTTTAATTAATATGAACTATATATGTTATACATAAATCAGTTATTTAAAGCTTATAAGTACTAGAGAGATCGGAGTACTAAATTAAGATCATGTGTAATACTTGATTTGAAGATGTATTAGTTTATAATTGTATGTATTAGCACGACAATAGACATGTTTCTCCATATATTACGTGGAGTTTAATTAGACTTCTCGAACAAATGATTAAATTTTATGTTTTGTTAAAAATGTTTTTAATGAAAAGTTTTTGGCTTAGCTGTAAGTTAAGGTTTGTATTGCTTAGGAAACACGTATGTCATTAATATCAGTGGTTTGATCGATATAGAGCTTAATCCATCTCATATGATCAGTCAAGACTTAACTATATTCAAAAGATTAGCCAGAGATATATAAGTAACTAAATGCCGCAAGATCTCATGAATTTAATTAATCAGAATGGAAGCATATATTTTTATTAATATATGCTTTAATTAACCAATGGGTCTGTGATTATTAAGACTACTTATGTTCTATGCAGAGCTGTTTATAGGGCTCAGTTTGGTTTGGAACCTCTCCTCTTTCCTTCCCATCCTCTTTTCTCATCTTCTTTTTTTAATCGTTAGATTAACATATTTCAACGGTTTAGATTTTAATTTTTTATAAACTATTTATAAAAAAAATTTAAAAAAATTTAGTGCACTTGCAAACCATTAAAATTAAATTTTAATATAATTTGTAATTTATTATTTATTTATTTTTATAATTTAATATTTCATATTAATCTAATGGTTAAAAAAGAAAGAGAAGGGAAGAGGATGAAAAAGAAAAAGGAGAGGTTCCAAACCAAGGTTAAGTCTAACAAAAAAAATTAGTTTTTTACAATGTGACAAATCAATATTTAAATATTTACTACGAGATATGCTTATATTTAGTGTTCAACTGTGTTTGGAACAGGGTTATATCTAATAAACTATCTATGGGCAATCAAAAAGTTATATTTAAAGATTTGATAATCTAATTATGCACACTGTGAGTAAATCGATAATCATTACTTAACTATATGCACTTATGAAATTTTCATTTTCATTTTTTTTGAAACAGCTTTTGAGCTCAAATCAAAAATGAAAAATCCCACGACACCATTTATTATTTACTCTGATAACTTTGATTTGAGTGTGTGTTGAGGTGGGGATCTAAAAGAGCAGTTTATCCGTTAGTTCAATGAATCTATTTATGGTTTGAAGATTTCTCTTTTAAGCAATCAGAAGTTAAGTTACAACGTGCTGGACCTATTTATTGAGGCCAATCCCTGTCTGCTCCCAACCCCATAAAATATTTCAACTTCAATTCAACTACCTATATATTATAAAATCAGTCATGTTATGTATCTTCACAAATATATACGATTTCAACTGATCCATCATTTTTATATATTCACTATTAAATTCTTTTTAAAATAAAAGGACCTGATAATATATAATGGGTTTGACTTATAAATTGTACTAAAATATGTGTATGTTTGTATGTTAATCTTGTTTTTCCTTTTGAAACTTTGTCCTTTAGCCTGCTATTATACTAGTATTTTTCATATTCATATAAACGAATACGCAACTAACTCCTTTAACTGTAATAACCGAAATTGCATGAAATAATTGAGGAGTGGAGTTTTTTTTTGGGGGGGGGGGGAATCAGAAGAGAAACATGGGGGACACATGTGATCACATGAATGTTGGAGGAAGAATGGAAAAGGAATGGTCAACAACAACAACAACATTAATGTTACTTCATTAATATGTAAGCTTTTAATTATTAATTAACTAATTATTGAATGGCTCACTAATTCACCCCCCATGTAATTAAAATGCTACCACGTGCTTCCCGAATTCTCCCTAAATTCATAACATGCTTTCCTGCTTAATTTATCATATGCGCTCGATATACGTTGTGAATCTACTCTATATTATTTTTCCCTCATGAATTGATCTAGATAAAATAGTCATAAAAAAATATGGAAAAATATGAATATAAAAAGAAAAGAAATCATACAGGTCACGCTATTAATTAAACCAATATCTCAGTTATTCACAATCACAACTTAATTTTTGAAACTTGTGTTTTTTTTTAGGTGCATGTATTTTTTTATTAGAGATAATCCTGTCTGAGATATTATTGGGTGTTAAATGCGGACACTTGGGAGATATTACTTCAAAAAGATAAGCCAGATTATTTACCAATAAATAAAAAAAAGGTATAACCTTTAATTTATGTTAGCTTGGGCGCTTGAGTATGAAAGCCCACTTTTCTTTATTGGTTCTAAACTCTGTCTTTACATATTGGGCCTATACTTTTCCTTATCGATACCCCAAATCCAGAACTCCCGTATGCCTTCGGGCTTATCAATTCGGTTTTTTTTGCTACAACATTGGGCTTATCAATCTAGTTTTACTAAACTCAACCATTTTAAGCATGAAAGCCCACTGATGGCGAAGAAATGTACACGCCCCACTTTTCATTATTGGGCCTCAGCAGGTTGATAATTAAATCAACTGACAGGATCCATTATATTGTTAGGCCCAACCGAATCAATCCCCGCCCAGTTTTAATTAATTGTTAGGCCCAAATTTCTGTCCAACAGACCATCACTCAAAACCCATTTTCAACTATGAAAGCCCACTTTTGTTTATTGGGCCTAAACCCATCTGGTAATTAAACCAACAAACAAGGTCCATTATTAAGCCCAACCGAATCGATACCCAGTTTCAAATAATTGTTAGGCCCAAACCGTTGTCCAATGGACAAGGGGAGGCATCCTACCTAGGGCTGCACATGGGCAGGGTTGGGCAAGGTAAGACACTTGTCTGATACCCAGCTTGAAGAATGAACGGACTGAAAAATGCAGTCCGTTGCCCGACTCTACTCATGAAAAGCTCTATTAAGTTCGGGTTGGACAAATACGGTCTGGCAGGGCAGGCTTTCATGCCCAACAAGTCAATATATTATATTAATTAACTAATTATATATGTCCCTCTAAATTGTTTTACGTGTCTTTATATTAAAATGGAAACTTGGCCTTATTTTTGTTATTACTAGTTAATATACTATGAAACTACTTTTTGTAGTAGTTAGGAGGAGTGGAACATGACCAAAAAAAAATATTATTTGTATATTTTATTAAACTTAATTGTTTTTCTAGTTTCTAACTCTCAAAATCATTTAAAAATAAATAAGTATAATGAACACTGAATATTAATATAACAATGCGTTTGATTCAAGAAATAAATATGAGGCAAATAATATATATAAATAAAATTATATATATTTTTGTGGATATGGCCAAATGGGTAGGGAAGCATATCGTGCCTGATGCTCAGTCCTGTCCAATAATTTGCCCAGTCCGAACATGCCAATAGTTATTTTGGGCCATTTTTTTTTAGAGTGGACTGGGCATTTTTTTGCAGGCTTGGACAGGCATAGCGGGCAACCAGACTTCATGAACACCTCTAATCCTATCTCCATTATGATTTATATTATTTTTAAAAAAAAAGAGCAACAAAAAAAAACAAAAGAAAAGAAAAGAAAAGAAAATTGTGAGTATGCTCGTAACTAGGTCCTAGGATTTGAATGCAAATTGGGCTTAGTTGGACCAGAGTTTTATTTTGTTTATTTCTTCTGGCTTTTTTTAAGGCAACCATGCCTTGTAATTTTTTTAAAATTCATTTTATTTATTTGCCATTTTAAAGTTTAAAAGCATATTAATTACCATTTTGTTAAAATTGCACCCTTATCTTCACTAACTTTAATATAGAACGAGAGCTATGAATAAATAAAATAAACGAAGGTTATATGAAAAATTTTAAAATAAATCATGATATAGATATATCTAATACATAAATCATTTAAATTAGTAATTGTTATTATTAGAAAAACTAGATTTCACCACGTTCTAAAGAAAATAATGCACGTTTTTTGAAGCAAACAACGTGGGGGAAGTACATGTTATTATATATAGATATATGGAATTTTTTTATATTATTCTTGATATCATGACTGTAAAATGAACGATTTTTTTTGGGGGAAAAAAAAAGAGGCTAAGCCGCAGAAAAGGTCCAAAATAAAGATATGATACTACTTTATTACCCGAAAAAAAGAAATAACAGATACGATACGACTTTTCATTTTCAGTCAGTCAAAGGTATTTTTCTTTGCAGTGACTGCTGCCTTCCGTGAAATTGCCGGCAATTCGATCAGATGCCTCGCAACTTCGTTATGTTTGATTTTTCCTTACGTTTCTATTCCCCAAACACTCGTCGTCGTACTTCTTCCCCGACCACTGTTCTGTCTCCAATTTCTCCTTCGCTTGATTTCATCGCCTTCTTTGTCCTTATAACTCTCCACTTAGGTTTTGCAGGTTTTACTTCAAGCAACTTGATTTGTGCGTCTGTCTCTTCTTGAGGGAGCAAAGAATAGATTATGAGATCAGTTTCGGGGCTTCGACTAGAAGTTGGTTTGTCTGCTTCAATCTCAATATCTGGGCCATCTTAGATTTAGGGTGCTTAGTTCAATTTGACATTTGAAGGATATTTAGTAATGGATTTTTGCCTAATTTGAGCAGATAGCTATTTCCGTGATAATTTTAATGAAGCAATAAATGATTGGTTCTGTTTGTAAGTTTCTTTAAATCCTTTCTATTAGTTCTATGGCACCAAGCAAAAAACCCTTTTCCAGAGATGTGGCTTTGCGCCGCCTATTATATGTGGTATTCATTACGTTATCTGGGGTTATACTACTGCAATTCGTTCTCGGATCTAATTCAAGATCAACCACTGAAACACTGCCTATAAATGAAGCTGACGATGGCAAAGCGTCTGTCTGGAAGTCTAGACAGCTATACAACTCTCACCTACCCCAACAGAATGACTTATCCTTGGAGCTGCAAAAGAGAAACCAGTTGCCTCCAAAAAACCTGGATCTATATCCAACTCTGGCCAACGACCATATAATTATTGTTCTATATGTTCACAACCGGTCTCAATATCTCCAAATAGTTGTTGACAGCCTTTCAAAGGTGGAGGGTATCAATGAGACCTTACTAATTGTTAGTCATGATGGTTACTTTGAGAATATGAACAGGATCATTGATGGAATCAGATTTTGCCAAGTTAAACAGATATATGCTCCATACTCACCTCATCTGTTTTCTAATGGTTTTCCTGGAGTCTCGCCTTCTGACTGTAAGGATAAAGATGATGCTAGTGAAAAGCATTGCATAGGAAATCCTGATCAGTATGGCAACCATCGCTCACCAAAAATTGTTTCGTTGAAGCATCATTGGTGGTGGATGATGAACACAGTTTGGGATGGATTGAAAGAAACAAGGAAACATTCTGGCCACATTCTTTTCATTGAAGAGGACCACTTCATATTTCCGAATGCATATCGCAATTTACAGATGCTAATCTCACTTAAGTCTGAAAAATGTTCTGATTGCTATGCTGCAAATTTGGCACCTTCTGATGTGAACTCAAGAGGAGAAGGATGGGAAAGCTTGATCGCAGAAAGAATGGGAAATGTGGGTTACTCCTTTAATAGAACAGTTTGGAGGAAGATACACATGAAGGCTAGGGAATTTTGTTTTTTTGATGATTACAACTGGGATATCACAATGTGGGCAACTGTTTATCCCTCATTTGGCAGTCCTGTTTACACACTACGAGGTCCAAGGACTAGTGCAGTTCACTTTGGGAAATGTGGTCTGCATCAGGGTCAAGGGGAGAACAAAGTTTGCATTGACAGTGGCATGGTTAACATTCAAATAGAGGAACAGGACAAGGTTCCTAACATTGGATCAGACTGGGAAGTGCGCGTCTATAAAAATCAGCCTGGGTACAATGCTGGATTTAAGGGTTGGGGAGGCTGGGGGGATAACAGAGACCGCCACTTATGTTTGAATTTTGCTCACATGTATCACTACATACAGGCATAGACACTACTTCCACTTTGTAAGAATCGACCTTCTGGCTTTCTTGTTTCTTATTTTCTCTGTTATTGTTAGTCAACTGCTACGTGGTACTGTGAATTTACACGCTTTGAAACAGGAATTAAGATGAGTGTTTTACACATGGCATTAATATCTATAATTTACTTAGATAGTATAGTTGTTTTTGCAGTTCTCATTTGATTGTAACAGTGAAAACTGAAAGATATTAATATAATTTCTCCCCACGCGGGGACAGTTCTCATATCATGTGACCTTTTTAAATGCGTGTTTTCCTAAATGTGATTCATTGCTTGGGTGTAATACTAGTGACATTGTCTTCTGCTGCTTTATGCCTCGTTTTTGAATAATCCTTTCGCTATAAACTCAAGGCATTGAGTGGAAAATTATACTCTGCTTTTGATCATGTGACACTATATATAGTTTGACGAAGTTGATTCCTATGGCTTTATATTTTTAAGTGCCTGCCGGTTTAGCTTGCATACCATCAAATTGACAATGAATGAATGTTAAATTTCCCGACGTTATTGTACTAAAATGGACTGATTGTTGGCTGTGGGTGCTATGAAGGGTTCTCATTTTTTACTCAGCACAACGATAAGCACCGTATACTTATTACTATAATACAATTTAGATCATCTAAAATTTGACATGGATGATTCAGATTTAAACTTTTTACTGTGCAATTTTTTCAATAGTAAATTTATTTTTTTTTAAAAAAATGTTAGTTAAATTATCTTTATTTTGAATTCTATATCTATTGAAAATAAACATTAATTAAAAAATATAAAAAAATTTAAATTCAATATGGACCATTCAAAATTGATCCGGATGATCAAAATTAAAATGAGTACTCTATCAAGCATGGAGTGTGCTTCTAGTTAGGAAAGTCTAAATTTTGATTGAGGCACCAAAAACAAGATAGAGTTCTAATAGAGCTTATGTTGTGATGAAGGCACTTCCTAGAATAATTAACTAAGGGAATGTGTGCTAATTGGTGTCGCAATGGTGCATATGGTTAGTTCACCTAAATGGTGCATATGGTTAATGACTAAAGAATGTTAAAACTATCCAGAGTCTTGATAGTCCTAACGAAAGTGCTTTATATCAACAAGGCGTAGTATCGCAGTTTATGCAGCCAATAGAATGAAAGAAAAACTTACTTTCACTTTAATTGAAACTGAATTATTTAAATATATGAAAAAGAAATATATATGCATACTTTAGATGTTGCAATAATTGCTCAGAATACCTATTATTTCATCACAGAAAGATTCGGTAATGTGATGTAAAATTTTGAAAAAAGTAGTGGTGATAGTATGTTATCTTAGCGGGTGATTAGGGTGTTGCCAGGGGTCAAGGGACTTTAAATTTTGAGGCAATGGTTAATGAACGCACAACAATTTAGTTGTCCAACAAAATAGTTCTGATAGATCAATAACAGGACGAAAACTTGTGATATTTTATTGCCTTGACCTGTAGTCTCGAAGACCAATACAACTGCCCGGAAGCAGCTGGTGATACTCCTATACTATTACAAAGAGGCAATGCTCTTACAACAGTGGGCAATTCGTGGCAGAACAACTATCTACCAGAACAATCCCTCTTACCTTACATGTTAATTTTCAACACCCCACAACAAAACCCCCCCCCCCCCCAAAAAAAAAAAAACCTGAACCCTACAAAGAATTGTGCCTCAGAACCCATTAAAAAAAATGAAGGAAATGTAACAACATGAGAAGTAAACTGGCAACATGAAACCTATCCCACCCTTTTAACTACGGAAACAGCCTAGTATGCTATACAATACTAACTGAGAAAATATCTTACAGTGTGGGCAACAAATGCTACGGAGAAATTTTATAGGAAAAATTAAGGTGGATGGATTTACAGCTTGGCGTCTGACCAGGAAAGAGATTTTGAATCTTGAAAGGTAAGATGCATCAGAGGAGGACTATAAGTGTTAAAACCACGGCCTCAGTCATGTAAAAATTGGAAAGCTGAATTGCTAAGAAGTTCTGCTGGCGCTTGTACTTTCAATGAGTTACTTCCTTGAAGGGAATTAGAAATCTCATCAACTGAGTATGGGATACTGCAGACGGAAAACAAACTTGTCAGAGTTTTATTCTTCATGGCAAGAATAGAATATCTTCAGTCTTCCTAAAATACGAGCAGATGAGAGAGGTTGACCTTGAATTATCGTCCAACATGAAGGAGTCGCTGTCGTCATTTGCATCATCTGTCATTAGAAGCTTCAACCTGGTGGTGACCTGCGTCAGGAATTATGTTACAATAACTAGCATGTACGTAAACCAACGGCTGTGAAAAACAAGCATATCCGTTTTTATCAACTTACATCTGTTGATACGCATTGTTCACTCTCACTGCCATCCCCGTAAAGTAAACAGATTTTGTAAAGCTGATGAACACTCAGGATCTGAATTCAACAGTTAGATGTGAAAGTTCGCGTGAGCATACAATATTGTGCCGTATGATAAAGGTAGTGTATTCTCCTTCACAAGCAGTAAATTGTGTTTTCTGGATATCAATCCAATGGCCAAATACATGTTTTAGCATGTGTAACTTTCCGGATTCTTGAGTTCTTTTGACCTTTCTATTTTATTTTTTTTTCCAGAAAAAAGGACCATATATCAATATACCCATTTTATCATTCACTCAGCTCAGAGAAATACACTTACAGGACACAGATCGTTAGTGAGATCGTCATAGGATATTGTGGTCTTCTCATTTTTGGCCTGGGAGAAACATTCCATTCAAATTAAATCAGGAAGAGAGTGAAAAGAATGGTGTAACCATATGCATGGTGTTAAATCATTAAATAATAGATGAGAGGCTGATATTAGCGAATGAAAATGAAAGATCAAAGATCCGCAGGTTGCTAGATAATTTAAAGCAAGAGTTTCAAGGCCTAGTGTAGCACATACCAAGAATCCAACTGCTTGCCTCACGTGTTTGAGGTCATCCCAAGATGAACCAGCATACTGCTATAGAAGTCATGATTAGCCAATAAGAAATAAAATTATAAATTTTGAATGGCATAAATAAGGAGGACGGAATGTTCTAAAACTCGAGTATTCGTTGTGTGGCCAATAACAATATTAGAGGAGTGCGTACCTCTTCTGTGGCTTCACTACACCATTTCTCTAATTCATCCAACCCCGATTTTAGAAATTCTCCATTGGTAACTGTGCAATATTCTTTATTTGAAAGGAGGCTAGAGAATCAAGAATGCACAACTCACATGTCAAACTCAAATGCATATATTCACAGCATTAACATTAAATTGATAAAAGGAGAAAAGATGCATTACCTATTAAAGAGTTGCACATTGATGTACTGGAAAACCTGGGTCAATATCTTCTGAACCAGAACAGGAGGCACCTGAACAGAATGTACCAGTCAGTTTGCTCTACAACAACAAAAGGGATAAGTAAGGTAAGGGATCACCAATCTCTGAACTATCACATACATGTTTTTCTTTCATCATATTGAGAAATTTGTCAAGGCAATCAATGATGTTCTGCCAAGAAGCAGCTGGGGCGCTATTATCAGTTGACTGTTCATCTGATTGGCTTTGCTCTGATGTTTTAGGTGCCTAGATTGACATACTTGGAATAAGCAACTTGACATTTACATTTAGTCAACTAAAATCAAGTAGTCTTACAACACAGATTAAGAAACACAACCTATAATATCATTACATGTGATGACAAAATAAAGAAACTCCATACCTGAATGCAAGAAGTAAGCAGAGGTGACAAGTCCTTCTTCAAATTCTCTCGAACAATTCCATAAATCTTTTCCACATATGCTGTAAGTTGCTGTTTGAAAAGCAAAGCTGGATACTTGGCATCAACTTGGCGAATTGTATCAAGTGCAGTACCAGCAGTAGATGAACGAAAACTCTGAGAAATAACATTGTACAAATTTTGAGTTTGGTATTAGTATTAACAGCCTTCTAATAAAAAAATAAGACAGGAATGTGCACGTTAACATTTTTTAATGATGGTGAGATAAATAAACCCTGAGAAACAACATTTTATTGCAGATTGATCACAACCTATTTATGCTATGAAGCATGATGAAATGGAAACCAACTTAGTCACCGACTGTATAATTGATGTAAAGCCAACAAAAGAAAAAAGTCTATTACAAGAGTAACCAATATTGTTTGATAGACAGATGAAGAGCTTCCAAAGAGAGAGAGCGGTCAGATTAGAGTAACGTTGATAATAAGGAAAAAATGCGTATCACATGACCTTTAATCATAACTCATACGTTCCGGAAAACTTTACACATTCTTGTAAATACACTAACAACATAAATATTTAGCAATCAAACAATTGTATATGCAGATCAAATACTCATGTGATGTATGACTTGAGCAATTTACTTGCAACTCATTTCACGTGCAACAAGCTATAAATTAGATATTTGTAAATAACTAAAAATCTTAATACTTGGGAAATCCTTCCAAAAAAAGATGTTGCGGGGGGAGGAGGTTTCTGTGCTGAAGGTGGTCTGAGACTTTGCTGAAGAAGAAATAACAATGCAGACGTATTGGATAACCAATAAGCCATGTGATCATTATTGTCCTGATCCTGCAAAAACATCAAATGGGATTTATTTTGAGAATTAAAAAAAAAATCAAATGTGTCTATCATTGAAAGTTTCCTATCCTTTTTTCATAATTTCTCCTTTCCATTCAGGGAAAGCTTAATAACATGGTATAGTCTAATTATTCTTCAATGAAAAGGTTCCCAAACTGCCATTGGAATCACCCTCTTCGAGCTTCAAAAATATATGATAACGCAGAGATCTAAATATTTTGGAAATATGAGAACTTCATTTTAAAAGAAGCACACAGCAAAATGGCAAAGGAAGATTTTCACAGATTGAACTACACAGTCACAATGTTGGCATGAAATATCAATCGCAAGAAAATTCTGCATTACTAAGGTTATTCAACGCCCCTCCCCTCCCCCAAACCACCACCCGAGAGAGAGAGAGAGTCACTCAATAACTAATAATAAACTAGAAACAGGTTCTGGTATATTAATTACCTCTATAGCAGAACCAAACAACTGAATAAGACGATCAAATACACTTGTCTTTTCTGCTTCAAAAGATCTCCAGTGTAGCAAACACTTATAAATGGTATAAACTGCAACCGGCTTCCCTTCACTGAACCCAAGGTTTGCTTCTGCAACGCATTTCAGAAGAGCATCTAGACTCTCCTACTCGAAGAGAAATAAAGAATACTTAATCAATGCTGCTTCTCACGAAAAGAAATATAAATTTTTAAACTGAATCATTAAAAGAAAGCAACAATTGTTCATCCAGATCATACTTGTTGTCTTTCAGCTTGAGATCTCCTCAACTCTTTATCAGCCTCTGTCCCAAATTTTTTTCTCGGTGTACCACTCGCATCCTGTAGAAAATGGGCTTTTTTAAAAACAACTTATATTACAATGACGAGAAGATGAGTTGTCTTTTCTTGGTACGAAGGTAGGTGAAAGATAATTTAAAGAAAAAGAAAAGGCTTTCTAATCAAAATATCCTCACTTACATCTTGACCATTCTCTGACGGCTGCAGTAGTAAGAGAAGAAAAGGATGTTAATATATTCTCCATTAAAGAGACGCGATTTACCATCTTTGCTTTTGGTTTACCTGAGAATTAGAAAATGATAATTGTCCTGACATTCGCCTAGAAGATGAACTCAGTAGAGCTTGCTGCCTCAAAATTTGATCCTCTGTTTCTATATCAGATAGTTTTTCTTCAAGCCTGAGATACAACATACGCAAAATATTAAACGAGGACAGCATCAAACAAGTATTTTTTATAGTCTTACAGAAATAGAAGCCACTATTAGAACCTCTGCATAGCCATCTTCAGCTCAATTACTTTTGTTTCAGCTTCTGATGCTTGCTTCAAGCGCTCGTCACTAAGCCTGTTAGTTTCATCAATTTTCTTTTCTAATGAATTGACCAGCGCCTGAAAAGAGTCAAAGCCAGTTTAGGATATAAGAAAAATATATGTCCAGACAAAAAATGCCATATATATACGTATATTTTTTTGGATAGAGTGTTTATTGAAGAGAAGAGAACACATTTCAGGCTTTATGCACACATACCTTGAGATTTTCATTCTCTGCCGCAAGGTTATTGTTCATTTCATTGTCACCAACTGGAAATTCTCGTATACCAGAGAATAAATCAGCTGCTTTGCCTGCTGCGCCATGTTCTTGAACGGACGCTGTTTTAGTATCTTGGTCTTGAGTAAGCTTGCCTTCACTTTCCACGGATTTCCTCTCAACGTCATCAACTTTCTTTTCCAGTGACTTAACCAGTGCCTGCAAAGCCAGAGAAAACAATAAGGAAGAATATAAGAAATTATAACTTGTCCAGAAGCACAAACTCCGAAACATAATTTGTACGCATACCTTGAGATGGTCATTTTCTGTTGTTAACTTCTTGATCAAATCATTTCAACAACAGGACACTCTTCTGTATTAGTATTTGGCTCACCCACATTTTTTGCTGCCTGGCGCTCCTGAAAGAGAGATGCCTTCGTCTCTTCCAAGGAAATTTGCAATTTTGCATTTTCCTCTTTAATCTCCTCCAAAACAGATTGCAATTTTGAATTTGCCTCCTTAGTCTCTTCCAAGGCAGATTGCAATTTTGCATTTTCTTGTTCGACATCAGTCTGCATTCATAGATAAATTAATGACAATGTACAGTAATAGTTTGATAATGAAAAAGTACATTCAAAACAAGCTTGTATTTAAGTTGTGAAAATTTTCCGCAAGGGGAACAATTCTTGTGTAGAATGAGGCTGTTTGGCAACTGCAGACATCTGCAGGGGACTTCAATGAACATAGAAGTGGCCAGACTCCACACAAATCAATTGGAAAATTTTCTTTTCTTTTTCTTTTAGCAGAAAGAAGAAAGATGAAGAGAAAAGGACAAAATCTCTTAAAAAGGCATTCATCAGAGAAAGTTAATCTCATAACTTCCGTATTTTGATCAACTGTAAATAAGTTACCATAATCTTCTTCTCCATTTGTAGAGAAGATTTTAATTCTTCAACTTCCTTTTCAAGTTTTTCTTTGGCAGCTTTGAGAGCACCGGTTTCCCTAGCAGCCTGCAAACAGTTAAATTTCCAACCTTTTCAACAAATATGTGAACACTTATGCAAAAAGTTACAGTATAGCTGGCCGAAAGGATGAAATTTTTGGGCCGAAATACAAGACGATGAAATTTAAATTAGTAAAAATGTAGGTTTTGCAAGTTTCACAATTTGATAGGAGGAAGAAAAATAAAAGGAAAAGCTCTCTCAGCATTACAACAACCAGCATGTATTAGTGCATTGCATGGGAAAACAATCAGGAGAATTATGCTGTCACAAAAAGAAGCATTTGAATTGTACAGAAAGTGAACAGGAACAAAGGAACATTTTTTTTTTGTTAAAACCTCATTTAAATCCAATGTTAAAAGGCCAAATTCCCTAAGATAGACAGCATGTCTTGTATAGGACGACTGAAACAAGCCAAATTCGACAAGAACAGGCAACCTAAGCTCGAAACTCCGGGAAATCTTGAAAAACCTACCAACAGTAAGATATTACAGTACCGAACTATTTTTATCTCACAAGTTACTAATAAAAACAATATATTGCAAAAGTTGGCCCAAAAAGAAACCGATGTCTTCCAGATTAAAATTAGATCATCAAGTAATTTGGATATTATCAAACACTTCTCATAGTTCATCAGTTATACTAAGCCCCATAAAGAAAATTACCCCTCAAACAAAAAGGGGGAAAAAATCAAATGACACTAATGGTCATCATAAACAAGTAAAGAATATATTTTTGTCCAGAATTAAAAAAAAAATCACCAGCTTTTTATAGTGGAAGAATTATGAAGAAACAAACAAGGAAGAAAAAGAAGGGAATCACCATCTGAAGCTTTCGAAGTTCTTTACGAGCCATTTGTCCCCTCGAGACACACTGTATAATTATTGCTGCTTCCCTTAGCCTCAGGAGTTGGACGTAGGCTATATAACCACGGCAGTGACTCTGATAAACATCAACTCACATTAGTTCAAGCATTTCTTTTATGTAAAAGAAACAATTAATTGAATATTATATGGTATAAATATTGAAATATCTACAACTTCCAAGCACTTCCAGTTCCTGAGCTTTGTTCTGTCGTTTTTGAACAGAAACATGCTCCACTAAACAGGAAGCGCAAACAGAAGACTTTTCCCGTTGGCCTCCCTTGTTAAAGTCAGATCGAATTTAAAAAATGTCGCAACACATATTAACATTCAATCAGAACAGATCTAAACTAACCCCTTCAATTTCAAATCTCTTATCCAACTCGAGGATAAAATTTCGAGGGCAACAAAAATGTAACGCTAACGACTCGAACATATTAGGCATGATTCTAGCTCTCTGTTGTTATTAAAATTATGTCGTACTTGGATAACAATTGTAGCTTCCGTTCGCCTTCTGCACTTGAGCTCATTTCTAGCAGCCATGCATCGCATACCGGTTTGAATGGAAATGGCTGAGGCACGCAAAGTTTTATAAGATGTTTTAGCAATATACATGCGCCCATTCTTTTGAATTTTTACAGAAGCAGCTTCCCTCCTCATTTTCTCGCACAGACAGCGCGCAAGTTCTCCTACATTAGATTTATAGGACATGAAAAAGAGAAAACCTTTAGAAAATTCTTTTTTAAGTTAGCCAAAGATATCAAATCAGCATTTCATTAATAACATAGAAAAAATCAACCAACAGCTAGAAAGAATTCACATAAATACCTCTACAGATTGTTTGTATTTGTATGGCAGAAAACCGCAACAAAACGTATTTTTTGTGACCAAAAAATGAGCGGACTTTACTCTGAATAATGGTTGCAGATCGTCCTAAGACCTCAGCACGACATGCATCTAGTTTTGCCATCTGTCCTGCTCTCAGAAATACTTTAGTCTTGCCCACCTACAACAACAAATTTCCGCAAGAATGTTTTTTGGTCTTTAGAAACCATAACAGATTATGAATATAATAACACTAAATTCCACCACTAATAACTGCCTTTTCGGTATTATTTTATCCGAGGATAACTACTCAAGCAAAATGGTTTTATCGCCTTGGGTCAAATTAACGATCATTCTAAGAAAATGATTAAACGGAAATATCAACTGAGATCGTAGTTACCTGATAATCTTCAAGATTTACTTGTCCTAGCAGCTTCACGCAAGCAGTCCTCTCATCAGGGCTGTAAATATATGGTTATCGTTAATTTGCTTCAAATAGTTGAAGGTTGCATGTATCTACAGAAATTGAAAAGGAGGAACGGGAAACGAGATATAAATACCATCCTTTCAGAACGTCAGGTGCCAGAACTCCAAACCGCTTAACAAATTCATCAAACTGCTTTCTAGTTGGGTATCCAGCACAACTTATCCGAATTGCCTCCATTACTCCCTATAGATAACACCCACGAAGTCCTAATCAATTGAGAAGGATATTCATGATATGCAGAAAATATGAACAAAATAGCATTCAACTTACCCCACATTGAAGCTGCTGTAACACATTAGTGTTCTCAAATATCCTTGGCTTGAGAAGATTATTTGGCTTTATGCAACGAATGTAATGCGGCTCAGTAGCATTCAGCGTTTCAAGCAAAGATTGAAGTTGTTGCTGGGTAAAATGCATCAAGAGTGAAAATAATAAAACATAAATCAGGTAACTGCAAGCAGGGGTGGAGACAAGGGAAGAACGGTCCACGGCCCCGAAAATCTTTTTTTCTTGGTATTATACATTCCAGCCCCCAACAAATTTAACGACTGAAACGGTGCATTTAAGTTTTACTGTTGAAACTGGAAGAGTTCTTATTAATTGAATCTGATAATAAAGTTTTTCCGGATTGTTTGTTTAAGAATTGCACATCTACGAATTGGAGATGCGAATTTTGATGAATATCCTTTCTCTGAGGAATTCAATTAGGAATCATAGTTCTTGTGGATTTCCAAGAAAGCAAATTTAATCGCTGATAATGTTGTTAAATCTTTATTCTTTACTCAAGGGGCCATCAATCAAAGGACAGAAACTAGACTTTAACATCTGCAAACTTTTGACATGATTCACTAAAGTTACAAAAATTTAGATCTTTGGGCACGCCAAAGTCATCAAATGACTTTAATGCATACTTAGGAAAAAAATTATTCAAATAGAATCTCTCATTGGTCAGAAAAATCTGAGTAGTAAAATTGTTTTAACAAGTTTGCAAATATCCCTGGCATTAAATGACTTTAATGCATTCTTAGGATCTAAAGTTGTGCTCTTCTAGAAAAATTTACCCCTTCTAATATCAAGAACTCGTGCTTGTGAGGTTTTCTTTCAAATTTAGTGTTTAATTTCTACAAAACCTATGGATGATGATTTTCTCACTGACTTAATGATGGTTTGTATTGCTAAAAAGTTTGCCACAAATTTGACCATTGATGGTTTTTTATGCCGGACATGATTTGGAAAATAAAGCCACTTATTTCTTTTCATAATATATTTCAAAAACTGAATAAGGATGCGTCAAAACATTTATATTATATTAGTTATATATATTATAATCCGTTTCATGTTTTAGGAGGTTAAAATTTTCTTCGATCATGCCGGCCCAAAAAAAAAAAAAATCTTCGATCACTATTTACTTTATAATCTTGGCCCCCTCCTCTAAAAATCTTGGCCCCGTTCTTGACTGCCAGCATACCTTAAACTGGGTGGCTATTGAGGAGAACTTTGATGATTTGGAAGTTTCCTCAGGTTGAGGTGGAAACAATCCAGAAACGAAGGAGCACTTTGAAGCGTTGAGTAGTGCCTCGAACTCTGGAACAACGTAGTCTTTGTTCTTGTCAAGGAACAAGTCAGTCTGATAAGTGACCTGCAATCAAAAGTTTGGCACATACTTTTTAGCTTCTGCTGTTTAATGTAAACTACTTAAACCAAAATATACTTCACGTACATCACCGGCATAGTGGCAGATGGTGAAATCAGTACGAGATAACTTCGGTTTGCTGAAGCGTTTATTGTCTTTAAAAGTTTGATATAACTTTTCGGCAAATGTTTCGTGTGTTGATCTTGGAAACATGCTGCAACAAACAAGCAGGGCATTTTACAATCTCAGAGTACATGCATAAGCAGATCTAATTGCATGTAACAAGGAAAAAAATGTAAGTTACATATGAACCATCAGAATGCAGATATCTATCAGAAATTTCAAGAAAGGAAACAATGGCTCCATTTCATCATCTAATACATACCAAGCCTCATCAAGAAGAGCAATGATGCCGCCAGGTTTCTGTATTTACGAAAATATCGTTTAGAAAAACAAAATTTAAGAAAATGACAAACTCTACTTTATGCATTGAATAGAAACTAAAAGCACAAGCAAACTAGTGCAGCAGTTTAGTTACCTTCCACAAGAAGTAAATAACGCCAAGCCAAATTTATGAAGTCAAAAGTCAGTACTTCTACTATAGCACATGCATACAAAAATGATTAATCTAAATCCAAGTAGAGAAACATATGTTGGATTTCTCATCGAACAAAAATCTTTTATGAACAGATCCTTAGGCATATTTATCTTATTCATAGTTATTAAGATTGCATTAAATGTCGACTGAAAATCCCTGCTGGGTCGAATTGTTTAACTGTAATACATCTTGTCTCAATTAGGGAACAAGGGATCAGACAAATTGACTAAAATAGACAAAAGCGGCCTACAAGCATCCCGTTTCCTTAATCAAAACAAAAAGGAACAGAAAAAGAACAATTTCATCTGGGTGATAGATTTCATCAATGCCGTATCATGGTTTAAATAGATTTTTAGATTCTCCATAAGGTCTCAGATGATCAACTGTTTTTTTTTTTTAAATGGTGAAAGTAACTGATTCTAAGGATCATTATTATGCATAATTTGATACAAGGAATTAGAAGGCAAACTTAAATAATTCGTTGAGTGAAAAGTGGACTTTAGGATAAATCACCACCTTCTCGATGAGATCAAGGACATCCTGATTATCAATGAACTCTATATAACTCCAGTTAATCTCTTCCTTTGTATATTCCTCTTGCTCCATTTTGAAGACATGCTGTGAAATGAAATATTGATGTGTACAAGAAAAAAAAAAAAGAATGTGATAACACAAGTCAGTAAAAGCAATTTAGTATGTGACGAGCACCAAGTAGAGAAAATATAACAAATGAAACCTGGTTGAAATGTTGCTGTAATTTCTCATTTGTCAGGTTGATACAAAATTGCTCAAAACTGCACAGGACCCATTATATGACATAAAAAGTTGGAAAACTTAGGAAGATAGTCACGCAAGAAAAACTAAGCCAAAATGTTTTTTTTGAATGTTGATTAATCACAAATATCATAACATAACAATTCTACACTATGTGTGAATAACAAAGGCAAAAGCGTACCGGTTAAGCACCTGTTTGTCTTGAAACTCTCAAATCCATATATATCCAGAACCCCAATTAAGTTCTTCGAGTTTGGATCTTGACCGATGGAGTTATTAATCTTTTTCACAATCCTGGACCAATAGTATTTACGTTGATTAAACTATAAAAATTCATAAATATGTATATCAAATTTAACCTTCATAAGAACTTTAAAGTAAATAGAAACTGATTTACAAGTCACTAACTACACAAACAGTTACCAGTCAAACAGCTTTGAGTAAACTATTTTGGCCAATGAATCTCTACTGAGAGCTGCCAAATTTGGATCAAGCCATTTTGTTATGGCCTCACCACGTGTTACCATGACACGTTTGCACAGGGAGTCCTCAAGTGACCTCTCGTCGCACCTACCATTTAGAAATAAGCAAAGCTGTCATGGACGTAAATTTCAATTTCGTAGAAATGCTAAGATGAAGGGGAAAAAAGCACTCACATCAAAAGTTCAGCAGTAGTTTTTAGGTGGAAACGGGATTGATCATCCTTGGGTTCAGAGGAATCTGGCTCATCCCCCTTGGCAAATTCAATGTTTCCTAAATGCAGTATTGCAGCTACTACTCTAAATATAGCTTCCTGAAAACATGTGTGACAAAAAACTGTGAAAAAAACAAATAACAAAAATATCCGCAGACACCGTACTGAAGGGTACCTGCTCATCAGAAGTGATGCCAACAACCTCCATGGCTCTCCTAGTTGCAAGGTACTCCTTGGATTCATCCAAACCATCCAATTCGAAGAAATTTGATTGGTTTAGGTAATGATACGTTCTTGGATTTTCCAATTTAAACCTTTTAATATCCTAGATAAATGAACAGGATATAGAAAGTAAGTTCGCACTGCGCACTCGTCAAAGCAGGTTATTAAAAGAACATCCAACCAGCAAAACAAATTCAAAAGTCAAAACCACTTCCCAACAACATTATTATTAGTTTTAGGCTCATTCTGGATTTTAGAACTCTTATTGAACATTGGTTAACAATTTCATGAAACTTTGTATTGCAATGACCCCTGCCTCACACCACAAAATGTTTCTCATGACTAACTCCTACGTCATCAAACCTAGCCACTGAACCATTTTTCTAAGCCTTGAATTTGAGGAATATGACCTCAGGAAGAGATTAAAAACAAGAGAATCTGAAGGCAGTCAGGCAAGGTTTTTGTTCCAGATCTCAAACACTGCTGTTTCAAAATATGCAGCTTCTCATGACTTCTAGACTTGCATTAGTAAGTTTGCCTACATTGTATCACACTTTGTAGCCCCGAATCTGTAGCAGATAACCTCGTATTTCATGGCATAAAATGACAAATTTAAATCTAATCAGGCTATTTTATTTGATACCCAGTGACTAGCAACTCTATGTCATAAAAGAATCCGAAAATTAGAATATTTAATATTAAAGAAGAATGTTTCAAAAACAAGTAAACTTAATTTCTGTATGCAATAATCTGTTATCCAAAAAGAAGACTATTTGACCTCTTCTGGTGCAGCACAAATCATATAAAAACAATGATAGTTTCTCTCAGGATCTGAAACTTGACAGACGCGGGATCGTTCCAGCAAATAAGTTCTAATAGCAGCTCCTGAAATTCTCCCCCTCTGATCAAACTGTAGCTCCACAAACTTCCCAAATCGACTGAAATAGCATTATGGTCAACTCAGGACACAGTTCAAACCAATCAAAAGAAAGAGCATCAGAATTGCGAAGATAGGAATAAAGAGGACCTTACTCAACAGCTGAGTTAATACCTTGAGTTATTGTTTCTAACTGTCTTTGCATTGCCAAATGCTTCTAAAACAGGATTGGACTGTGAAGTCAATAAAAAAAAGGTCCGAATTCAGAATATAAGAATCAGAATACTTAATTGCTACTCCCCTCTTCCCCCCCCCCCCCCAAAAAAAGAAAAAAAGTGTAGGTCCCGTATTGTACGGAACTTGAGAAGTAAGCCGTATTGTTTGCGGCTTCTTAGAGATTTCATATTATTTATAAATAAATATATAGGTTCACCCAATAAGCAGGGTGAGAACAATTTTTTGTTTGTTACCTCTAGAACTTGTTGCTCCACAGATCGTCCCTCAGACTCCTTTCTCCCACCCATGAAGGCGAGATAATGCATAAGCATCTTTGTGCTCTCTGTTTTGCCCGCTCCACTTTCACCACTGACCAAAATTGATTGGCTTGTTCCTTCATTTAACATCATCCTGCAAATGCATTTTTTCTCAAAGTCTCATTTTCAAGGAATTCTGGAAACTAGCAAAGTTCCAGAAAATACAAATGCCGAATGCAATTAGAAAAATTGCGCAAATTACTCATGGTCTCAAAATTGCCAATAGCTGAGAAACAAATTTAAACTGACGTAAAATGATGATGAGGAAAAAAGGCTGATAATACTTCCACTGTTTTAGAAGATTGTAAACGTAATGAAACATGAAATGTGATTTCAAAAATGAGGAAAGAAGGCTGAAGTTGGAATTTTCTAGTTGAACTACCATTTTAAGTTTTCCAAATTGGCATTTTCACTATTTTCATTTTCTTATGAATTATTGATTTAGGTGTGCGTGCAAGATACCTACTGATATTTAAGCAGCCAAGACGCAAAAACTCAGAGAATAGATACCTAAACGCAGAATCAGCAATTGCAAAAGGATGTGGGCTCAATTCACCAATCGCTGATCCTTTATACTTTTGCATCACATCGTGGCCATACAAATGAGGTAATCTTTGAAAAGGGTTCACGGCAATCAATATATTTCCTGTGTATGTCTGGAAACACCATTAGGGAGTTAAACTTCATCTCCATGAATGGTCAGTCCATTGGACAGCGAAAAAAGCCAATGGAAAACAAACCAAATTCTTGTATAATTGAAGAATAAAGATGCAATATTCTAGTCCACGTACGGAAAAGGACAACGGAACAATAAAGGCGGTATTTAGTGTAGAAAGAAAAATGAAATGAATAGCATGCATGAAGGAAGGAATTGGGTAGTTCGCTTATTATTCATTGAAGCCCACCTATGGGTTATAGGTCATTTGTTGTAACATGCACAAGGAGTTTATTCCCATATAACTAACTAGCTACTGTAATATCACACGCGGGTAATGTTAATCAGGTCAGTGCTTACATATATCTCATTGGTGTCATACCGACATTGCAAATTCTGGAGAACCCCTGGCTCATGCAGATATGCCAGCCTTGTCATATCATCCACACCAGCAGGAGGGAACTCAGGATCCTTGGGATGGACATTGGAGGCTTTGACCACAACCTACAGAAAACATATAATGCTTGCTTTGTTTATTCTACTACTTACGGAGTATCAGGTTCCTTATCACTAAACATTTCCAATATATAATTCATCAAGAACAGTTAACAGTTATTTACAAGCACTCAAACCATTTAGGGCAGTAAACATGTGAGCAAAATACACAAAGATTAACAGATGAAGAAAGGAAAGAAATATACCAGATGTTTTTTTTTCCTTTTCTGCATATATAAAGAAAAAGAATATAGTTCTAAAGGAGTGGAGAAAAATGAATTCCAAAAGACTCACCATCTTGTCTGACGCACACTTAACTTTGATCTCTTCGCCATTAGTTTCCACAATTTCTCCGTCTATCCAAGCTACCTCAGGGTCCTCAACAAAAACTTGAGTTCCAACTCTGAAATTAATTGTAGTAGCCTGCACATCCAAAACAATCGCCAACACCTCTATCGTCAGAGAGGAACCGTGTTTCAAGTTAACATTAGCACAAGGGCAAAAAATATACAATTAGTTGCATATATGCAAACTAACCGGTGAGACTTTTCTCTTTCCACATCACAAGCAAAGACTGATTGTTATTAAGCAACACATGTCAGAGTTAAGACATTTTAAAATTAATGAAATTTAAAAATTTTCATCCATAAGCAAACAAGAATCCATTCGCTTTTGTACATTCTGGTAGCTTAAAATGGGTAAAAATACATTCTGTGCCAATCCAGATGAAATACACTTAGGCACTTTTACTAGCTCAACTACGTTCACTTCAATTTTGCGGAGTGTAATGGCCAGCCGCTGCAGAGAAACCAGAATGGGATACAAACCAATCATATTGAGGAAGATTTATATAGTCCAACATCATAGCTATTTCATAAGAAAACATATGTACATTTATGTCAAAAGTATCTAACAAGAGGTACAAAAAGTTTCCGATTGTCCACAATATTCAGACGCTAAAAAAACTAAAATAGTAGAAGTCTATAAAAGTTATATCCCATAGGAACCGTTTTATCTTTACATTTTCACAGAAAATGAAGACCTTCACAATAAAAGCACAGTTTCAAGATTACACAAGTTTTGACCCTCACAATATTGCCGTATATACAAACCTAATCTTTCTCAAGATGGATTACAGTGTAAGGAACTGAGTTTATACATGAGATCATTATCCTGACGACCATAGCATTTTTCATAAAAACATTCGCTCTGAAAGTCGTCAAACAGGCTACAGACTTATCGTAAAATTACTCGGACACGTTTCTATATTCTCTAAGGTAAGAATTGACCCTCATTCCAACCAACTAAAGAACAGAATAATATTACCAGATATTCACATTTCTCCCATGAGCTAAACATTCTAACCTTGTAAAAAAGAAAAAAGTTGGATTAACGCAATTGAAGGTGTGGTAATAGATACCATCATTAATTAAATGTTGATCACTCAAACGAATTCGACGATCAGCGGCTCAAACCCGATATTCCGTCAACAGAAACTTCACCCAACGTGGGAAAACACAATGTATTCCATCAGTTGATTTAAAATCAAGCACAAAATTAAGAACATCCAATCTCCACTCCCGAAATACCAATATAGATCCCCGATTCCTCATTCCTCTCTCAGTATCGTCTTTATATGGCGATCATGAAGAAACGGAAAATGTCGCCCTGGGAAAGCGTTGTTGCAGAAGAGGCTTCACAATGGCGGGGTTTGAACGAGAAGAATATAGAACCTTACCCCTCCTCTGCAATTATCTCCCCTTATTTTATCTCTCTTTTTCCTTCAGTTCCTCCCTCTCGCTCGCTCTGTTTCGCTCGCGCGCGCGCGCTCTCTCTCCCCCCTTTCTTGCACTTTGTATTTCCCATATTACGCAATGCGTGAACAAGATACGCACTTACGCTGGCCTCGATCTTCGTAGTTTGCCATTATTTTCATTCATATTTACATCTGTTGCCACTGCCGTATTACTGGTGATTATTTACTAACCATTAATGCCAGCCTTTTGATTTTTTTTTTTTTTTGGTATATACTAATCCGGGTGTACCCATGAACATGTTCCACGCTTATTTTTCAAAAAAAAAATTTAATTACCATAATTTTATATAAATAAATTTAGTAATTACACATTAATACGGTTTTTTTAAACAATTTTTTGGTATTTTGATTATTCAAAACTAGCTTGGATAAACAATAAACACATATGCTTATCAACAACAGGTATAGAACTTATTAATGAGAAAGCCTTTCTTTCACTTCTGGATTGGTGTTTGTAATCTTGTTACTTTGATGGAATGAATATATCTTTCTGGCAAATATATGTCTATATAAATAAACCATATACACATACATATATATATATAGTATTGAATCGGTTGGTTGTGTTTTAAGAATACAAGTAATCAACATAAGTTTTTGTAAATTTTAATCTGACACATGTAATTATATTAGTTTCAATGATACATGATTAGTGATTAATAAGAATACTTTAAAAAAATTACATTATTTATTATAATTAATTAAGTAATTTTTTAATATTCATAAATTAATTATATAGCACTTATATTAAAGATTTGAGGTGGCATAATCATTTTTCTTCGAATGCAAATCGTGCTACACCTGAATTGCAAAACTAAAAAAGGAAACAAATTGAAAAATGTAAGGCTTTAATGTATATTGTGAGCATTAGCAACAAAGTTCAAAGTAAAATTATCGGTAAATAAAGATTCGTTTCTATTGTGACTATTTTTTAAATAAAAAATAAAAAATAGTAGTTAAGATGACATGAATCAAAAGTCTAATTTATATTTTTGCTTTTGAATAAATATTCAGTAATCATACCATTATAACAGGTTCATTTTAATTATAAGTTTCATTTACTCTATCAAGTATATTTCTGGTAAAATGAATCTCCTAGTATTAAAAACTTTAAAGCTTTTATTCTAAATAATTTCCTAGCAATTAGTATTTTACATTTTCAAGGATTGGATCATGATTCAGAAGAAATAGTAGTAAGTAATCACTAATAGAATGGCATGGTGAACATTTTATAGTTACAGGCGGGGCAATTTGGGAAATGGAGCTTTCATTTCTTTGGCGCCACCGCCCGGCAACCATCACGAACCCCTGATCGTTGGAATAACGGCCTTGCGGGCCCACCGCTCCTGTCGACGGCTAGTTTGACTTTTCTTTATCTTCACGTTCAAGTGATTCTCAACATTTTTTAATAGAAAAAGGGAAAATTCAAAAAAAATCACGGTTAAATTTCAAAATTCTAAATTAGTATTGGTTATTATACTCATAAAAAAATAACTACATTCGAAAAGTAAATAACAATATATTTTTATAATAATTTCTGATTTGAAATTTTAAAATTTAATAATTATTTTTTTAGGATTTTTTCATAGAAAAATGCCTCTTTAGTATCAGAAGAAATTCTATTTGAAGCATTGTGACTCATTAAATATGAGTACCTCTCTAACAAAAATTTAAATATTAATTCATTAAGTTGGGGGATTAACTCTTCTATTAATCATATAAAAATCTTTTAATACTGTAATATTTTTATAACTTATCTGTTTATCATTTGATTTGACAAATGTGATTAAAATTGCAGCGTTGTGGGTTGTATACGGCCATAATCTGCCAAGTGTGTGGGGTACTACGTAGTCTTAAAAATGGGTATGCGAGGATTATCTACGATTCTGTGGTCAGGCGAATAAGATTTTTTGTCCTAGATAAGAAAAATAAGCTTTAGTTCAAATAAAATATCTTTATCATTACTTCTCTATAATATTATTTCTAATTCTTGGTATAAGAATTCATTTAACTTTTATTTTAGTCTAAAATATAATTAAAATTCCAATCCACTTTGTCTTTCATATTTACATCTTTTTTTAAAATAGTCCTTATAACGATGATAGTTCTGGCCAATACACAAGATAGTTTAAAAGTAGCTATTCAATCGTCACTGACAAAATATAAAGTAAGCATGTGATCAGAGTTTTATCTTGATTTACATGAACATGTTTATAAACACTTAATATATGGAACTCCAAATAACTGAATGAGTTCTAAGAAAGTTAAATAAATTAATTCTAAAGAAATATGACATAATCTCTTTAAAATGTGAACTAGTTACCAACAAACTGTTTTCTCTAAAAAATCAATAAAAAAAACAGTTTATATATATATAAATATAATATCAACAGTTTTCCCCAACAATATACTTCCAATTAATACCAACGTAGGCGAGAGAACCAAACCAACAATGCGTACCCTGGACACTTAGCTTGTAACGCAACAACTGCAACCACCAAACTATGTGAAGTGAACCAAAACCAAAGCTATATGTTATTTGTCAGCCCTATCTTTGCTTCTTCTTTTTTTTTTTTTTGGACCAGCCATCTTGGCTTCTCTACTCCGTCAATAAACATAAAAGAGAAGATGGTGATGCTATTAATGAATCATTTTCTCTGAAGTCATAAATGTCGCGTATTATATATTAACAACTTTGTTTCCACTCCATAAAACCAAGAAAATTTCACAATTGATATAGCACCGATCACGATATAAAACCTTTGCGTAGAGACATGCATTGAATATAACTTCTCATTATTATCCATTTCAGTACACGCAATTATTGTCCTCGGAATCCAGAGCATCTTTCAAATAAAACGTAGTTGTTTCTCCTTAAATTTATGTATAATTTGAATCAAAGTCCTGTCATTAAATGAAACAATAATTTCCCAGAATTCTAATTATTTTTTTACCAAATTCGTACTATTCCCAAATATATATTGTCATGATAGTGACATACACTATCAGATTCTAATTATTTTTTTTATCAAACTATTAATTTCTAGAATTCTAATTTATCGATGGACACAAAGATGTAAAAAGAACGTATAATTTGAGCTCCAAGGACTTGTACTTGAAATAATTGTTTAAGTCAGGTTTCAGTGAACACAAGGCAGACCTATTTTGTGCTGAGATGATAAAACAATTAAAACTCAAAATTTTCTTCATCTTTCTCTCCCTGCTGTCGAGAGAAAATGGTACGTTGATTCCGTTGGATGATCACTGTGGTGAATCAAGAGTTGGAATAAGACACGACATCAGGAAGGGGCAAAAACAAATAAGTTAGGATTATTTGGGCCAAAGGGGAACAACTGAAGCATAGGAGGACATGGGATAATAATGGGTCGCAGGAATAATAAATTTTACGATAATGTTCATGGGAAGCCATGGAAAGTGACAGAAACTTGCGTCTTGCAGAGAGAGAGAGAAGGGGGGGTAACGAGTTCATTGAGTTGTCTCATATATTGGAATATCTCGAGAAATCCGCCATTAGGCGGGAATTTGGCAGCATTAATATTACCCGGATCGTTTATACTTCTCTGATCTTATTTATAAGTAAAGAAAATAAATTTTTTGATCCTATTTATAAGACTGAGAGACAAACATTTAACATGAACATATAAATTTATCCTTAATTTATTATTATGTTGATTTTGTTTTCATAAAGTATAATATATAAAAATAGGAATTAAATTGAACAGTTATTGAATTTTAAATGAGAAGTAATAAAATTTAAGATTTTTTTTATCTATATGAAATACGTTGAAGGTGACTTGTTAATAAAACTAGAGGAATAAGTGTTTTCGATATGCATTATTGGCGGATATTCAGATTGGTTGGTTAATTACTGTTACACATGTTGACCGCCTAAGACTAGTTAAGATTAAAAAAAATAGGGTTAAGGTAATATCTTACTAACGTAAAAGAAAAATATCACTCATATTATATTGACACGAAAAAGTTATGATTGGTTCGAAAGAAAATATCTTATACAGTAGTATATTGAATAATATCATTATAATAAGAAATCTTTTTTTCATTTTATTTTATCTGTGGACTGAAACTGGAATTGAAGAGTTATGTGTGGTCCATACCTTGCCTGGTAGAAGAATACACACTCTTGTCCGATTGATTTACGTTTGTGTCTGGACTCGGCATGTGTTAGGCCGCAGATGCCATACCTATGCTGTATCAATACTAGGAAAATTATGTGTGTGTGTATACACACACACGCAAACATTATCAACGATTAAGACGATAAGGTCAGATTTCTGCCCCCCCCCCCCCCCCCGAAAAAAAAAAAAAGACGATAAGGTCAGACAAATAAAACCAGCAAGTTGTAAGGTCTGTGTAATTGAAATCAGATAGACAGACACCTTACCTATAGCTATTAAATGGAATCCACAAAACCATGCGTGTTCTTTCTAGCTAGTTTAGCGTCCATATGGTACAGAACAGGAGCGAGAAAGGAATAACAAAATCTCTCTCACAAACATGATAATTTTTACCTTCAAGAAGTCATTTTATCATGGAAAATCCACTATCTGGTCCCAATGAAATAATATAATCATCAAAAAAGTTCCGATGACAAATGACTGGTATGGAAATTGTTTTCATTCTCTACATT